GGTTAGTATGTTTGGGAACAGAGCACCATTCCAGACGCTCAGTGACTGATACAGCTTACCAGGCACTGTAGATTATATAAAATCCTTTCATTGTGAGACTCCAGACAAAGGAGCCACCCAACTGGAAAGACACTCCTACTTCAGAAAGGAGTGGCTCAAGCTCTACTAACCCGTCTCTGCAGTGCTCTTTCTGTTTAAGACTTTTAGAATGTCTTTGGTTATTTTCTTGATTGTATGCCGAGCATCGTCCCGTTGTTTTCCAACCCCAAAAAGAACTACCAACCGTTGGTTACACTCGTGACTGCATGACTCCTCCTAGGGAACCAAAAGAGACAACTGCATTAGCAACTATGATGCTGAATGCTTTAATCGTGTTTCACATCTGGATCTCTCAAAGGAAGAGGAAAGCTTCATCTCAGAAGTTGCTCTGGGAGTAATCAAGGAGACATCTTAAGGAGATCACCTCCTGCAGCAGTGCAGGAAATCATGACTGCTCCTTACCCACCCACAGCAGTACCGCAGGGAAACACAGCAGCCTCATGACCAGAGCACAAGACAGCAACAGGGGAGCAGTTATGAGCAGGTCTCATACCTGAGGAATAGGAAAGTGTGTTGCATACTGGATGTGCCGAGGCTGGTCATACAGGGATGCTAGCATTCCTTCCACAGACTTATCCTTCAGCAGAGGCTTTGGTTCCTTTTCAGGATCCGGTTTCTCAGGGGAAGGGCTGGCTTTAGATTCACAATGCATTGGAGGAGAAAACATCTAGGGAGATTAAGGCCAAGAAAAGGCAGTTAGGGAACATGGTCATGCAACAGTGAAGATTGCTGAAGGAAGGTACATCTGCTCAGGCCTAAAAAGGAGCAGGTTGGAGAAACATCCAGTTCTTAGGGCAATGACCAAGGCAATGTGCTAAGACACTACTCCCATTTCTGCTTCTGGTCCATGTTGTATATTGAGTTAAAAAAATAGGAAATAAATAACCACGACTTAGGATTTTGGGAACAACCACCTCCACAGAACAAGTGAGGATCCTGGGAAAGCCATGGGAAAGCCACATAGCTCTGCACATCACACCTGCCTAACATGTACCTTGAAAGGCCAGAAATGGCTGGAGGAACGTAGGTACTCAGGGATTTTTCAACCACCACAAGTTATTTTTATTATTAAGTGATTCAAAGCATTCTGCAGCCATGAACTACGCCCACAAGTATTATGAAGAACTGTAAAACTGAAGAAGTACTGAAGGCCACACAGTACGATGATAGCAGACCTGTGTCTTCTCCCAGGTGACCAAGAAAACCCCTGCCAACAGTAACTGGTCACTCCCAATCTCCTGGTGCTATCACAGTCATCCATTTCCCGTCCACTTCCAAGCAGCCCACTTCCTACCCTGGAACGGCAGTGGCCAGAGCGTAAGAGATCCCAGGAATGACTGGGACTCACTCTACTCTGATGGATCCCAACCTGCATAAACAGGTTATATGAACCTTTTTACAGTGTCAGCTGCCTTACAACCCAGCCACTTCCAGCATACTGGCTCTACAGTAGAGAGGGAGTACTCACACAAAAGCAAGGCACGTGCTGTCCCTGGTCCCACTACAACATACTGACCTACTTACCAAGTAGCAGGTAGAAAATGCAGGAACATACCGAAAAGTCTGTCTTCTCCATGTCATCAAACAGCATGCTGGAGTTGTGGTCAATGTCCATGGGCTCAGAAAGACCTGTGTCCTGGGAACAGACAGAGCAGCTTTACATCTCAGTGATGTACCAGGGAACAAGAGAGTATTTGTTTGCTGTAGCACTCAATGTCCATGTTGGACAGTGACAGCAATATACCAACACACCCATGTTGCCTGGCAAGTTGGAGCCTAATACATTGCAAACATCATGGGCAGGCCTCACACAGCATGATATGCTGCTCTGCTCCGGGCAGTGCAAGATTTTCCTATCTACCCCTTTACATTCTGCAGGCCCTTTCCAGCCACTTAGAACATAGCCTTCTACTTTTGAAACCGAAATGCTAAGGAAATAGGTTGGGGGAAGGAGAAGCATGAGTCACTGGTACATCCTCCAGCAGGTAATAGCAAGGAGGCTGCAAAGCTGTTGAAAACAGGCAAGCACAACACGGGGACATGTACAGGAAGGCCATGGTACTTGTGCTCTCACCTCTAGCTTGATGCCACTGTTTCCCTCTGTCTCTTTCCTGTCGTGTTCCTCAGCAGGGTCATCAAAGGGTGAGGGTGGGCGAGGCCCATGAGAATCCATGGCAAGATCACCCCGGGAGATGAGCGTGCACATGTAGATGTTGTGAGAGAAGACATCATGTCGGATTAGCTCACAGAACAGCAGCACCAGGTTAAAGAACTCCACCTTCTCATTTTCCTTCCCAGGATCAGCTGAAAGGACAGCACAGACAGACAGGGCTATCAGAGTTCTTCTGCAACACCAGCCACCTAACCTAGGGCTAGAGAAAGTGTTTCCAGAGATCTCAACAGAGTAAGTGACTGATACGCAGTTCTGAGATTACAGCAGGGACTAAAAGCAGAAAGCCCAGTTTCAACAGGTGGCAATTAAGCAAGTCAAAAGCTCTCCAGTTAGTCTCACAGACCAGAGTCATAGGACTTCAGCCTGGAAGTGCCACTCCTGGGTGTGGAAACAGTTGCCTCCATCATTCAGAGTTGTATCTTGTCCCCCTCAATCTGTCTGCAGTACTTCCACTAAGAGACTATTCCAGAGCTTTGCCGCTTACTAGTTAGAAACCCCTCTCTAGTTCTCAGCCTGAATTAATTCCTGATTAGGCTATACTCATTTATTCTTGGCCAACGCTCTGTTAACAGAAGTGCTTCTGCATTATCTTTCTGTCACCTGGCCCTCCAGGCTGCTTTCCCTCCCTCTCCAAGGTATGCTCTGGATTGCAAGGAAGCCAGAGAGAGAATTTAGGTACATCCAATACACACGAGAATAGCACACAAATTCAAAGTTTGCAGGAGAGGAAAAGCTAGAAACTGGGAGATCACAAGTTCTTATTACATACTTAGCATAGGAGCTTGAGTGTCAAGGAACTGCATAAGGACATCCTGAAAGACAGGAGCGCTGGCTGCTGAGAGAGAGCCCGAGGAGATGGAGCCCTTTTCATCCACGACTTCAGAGTCCCCACATCTCTGTAGAAACAGAAAAAAGTACCGACCACTGTCACAGAGGAGAAACTCACTATCCATAAACCCCAAGAAAAAAGTCTTCAAGAGAATTTTCCTATCTTGCACTTATAGGAAAGCCACCACACAGGTTTCTATAAGCTACTTCACAGTCTCCAGGTATGCCAGTACTTCCGCACTGCAATCACCTGTCTTCAAATGTATTCAAGAAATGGGATTCACACCATCCCACAGGCTCATTTATGACCTACTTTGGGTTAGATGGAGCAAACACCATAATTAACAACACCGGTGTTAAGAGGCATTGTGCTGATCAGCCTTTGCCTTTCGGTGTAATAGTTAGATAATCATAGATAACCTCTGCTCTCCTTCCAGGAGTAAGGATTTACCTCAGCCTCTATCTCTGCTTGACGCTTCTCCAGGAGTTTGGCCACAACCATAGCCCTGTGGCGTCCAGAGCGCTTATAGCTGACAGCCCACTCACACAGCAAGGCCACCACTGCATCATCATCTGGGGAGATCTGTTGAGATATAAGTACTACAGTGAGAACCTGAGCCAAACAGAAGAGGTGAGCAGTCCTAAGACCTCAGGTTGGATATAACAGTGAGTCTACTTCTAGCAGAGCACAGCCTGAAGACTGCTACATTCCCCCCCTTCCTAACATGGAGGACAGATGTCAAGCTAGATGTCTGCTTTGTCTCTGCGTTGACTCCACTTTGCAACATGAGGTGATCTACAGCCCTTGACATATCTCCAGGCTGGCTTTGCTTCAGAAAGTCATCTCTCTTCCAGCAGCACATCTATGGAGTGCTAATTTTAGCACAGAGTGAAACACAGCTTCTTGACAGCATTATACGAAGTAGGCAAACTATCGGTCCTGCAGCTCACTTCCAGGAACCAACGCAGTATTGGTTGCACTATGGTCCTACACATCATAAATATGTCACCTCCCAGGCTAAGAGGAACTTGAACTGTGAGCTCCCAGACTTCCAGGAAGCAGCTGCCAGCCCAGAATTTGACAAGGCTAGCATCTACTTCTCTCAGACACATAACATGTCTTTATCATCAATCTGCTATCCGGACTGATGTCTTCCATCAGGAGAGTCTCCTCAGTTAGCTGTGTGGATTCTCTCAAGTTTACATGTATTTGTTAGTGTAGACTTTCTAGAGCACAGACCACCTTGCTTTAGTACCTCCCTAACTTAAGGCTGCACGAAATCCTTTTCAATGGAGATCGTATCTCTTGGCCAAAGGCCACTACCTAGTCAGCTCTCTGCAGACACAGGACAGTAACCGTGGAATATAAACAAGAACATAGCCACGTCCAAGACCAGGGCCCAGCAGCCAAGTCCCAAGGCACCTCATGACTGTCTTTGGTTGGACCCAGCCCAAATATCCTGTTATACAAGGAATCCAAAGAGTTGCTGAAGTCAGATCTTTCAAAGCTGTGACTGTCTAGAACTTCTAAAGTGTGCAAGACACGGCCAATAGTGAAACCTAGAAGAGAACAGAGAAGAGAAATACGTATTTGGCAACTGGTACAACAGACTCTGGAGCAAAAGTTTCTGTGAGCTCATTGCTCAGGAGACTGCCTAAGGAGAGCTGTACCAGTCAGTCAAGGGTCCACCTAGCTGAGTGTCCTGACTCTTACAGCAGCCAACAGCAGATGTTAGGGGAAAGCATCAGAACATGGCACGTATACAAGAGTATAGTTATCTGGTACACATTTCCAGCTTCCAGTAACAGAAACTCCCCCTACACCTGGGGAAACAGACCCATGCAAGATTTTGCACTAGAAAGAAAAAGCCATTTAGTTTTTTTCACTGCTGACACTAAACACCAACAGCAGCAAATAGGAAAAAAATCAAAGAAAATAGCCAGACAGGAAGTTTCTCAGGGTAACACATGGAACAGGGGGAGAGAAACTTTAACCTACAGCAAGTTACCTGCTGTGGTTTCCTGGCACTTGTCAAATGACCAGCGAACCTCCACAGCCTGGCCACGTTCCTTTATCTGCTGCTCAATTTCACGCAGCTTTGCCCGAACCTAAAAGCAATGGACTTGTGTAAACATACAAAAGGATGCCTTATAAGTCCTGTGTACAAAATTATCAGAAAACAAAGAGCATGACAGTAATTCTACTCAAGGTTAGATATTGCCTGTCTTCCAAGGACATCCCTGTCTTGCTTATAGCAGAATGGGAGCAGTTAATTCCTTAGGAGTGAGACAGCACCTCCAGCTCTGCTTATCACACAACATGAAAAGAAAATCCTGAAAGAGCTAAGGTACAGCTATAATCCTGGACCACAAGAGCTCCCTTTTTTGAAGGCTGCTCACCTGCTGTGTAAAGGCTGAATTCCCTCCTGGCATGGGCAAGTTGGATGGGGCTATAGGCAGGTGATCCAATGGAGAGCCGGTCTTTATCCTGCTATCAGTCAATGAGTAATGCCACACAAGGGCACTTGGGCAACACAAAATTATACTCTGCAACAGACAGAAAAGTCAGTATCATTGAGCTAATCAAGGTCAAACCAATTAAGTTAGATTACTTTCTATAGAAATAACCACTTCTTTATCCTACTGCCCATGCATTCATCATCCTGTATACATATTTACTATTTGGTTTTTTTTGTTCTAAGCTCTGAAAGATTCTTTGGGCTAAAGACCATACTAGAGTAGAAAGGAGTAAACTAGTATTTTTGCTGCACTGAGTTTCTTGCCCTAGGTATGCTTAGGAAGCCAAGACCAGAGTTCCATGTTATCCAAAAGCAGCAACATGTTGCTGCAGAGCTCCCTGCTGCTTCTAAACAGAAGTTATTTTCTACAATTCACACTGTCAATGCACAATCCAACCCTCGTGGTCCAGGGGCAGCATTTACATTAGTGACTTACAGCCCTCATCAAGAGTAAAGTGTGAGAAGAAATATGAGTCAACAGACCCAAACTCATTATACTATATTATTTAATAATTATGTGTATGATTATAGGAATGATTATAATAACAATACTATTATATATGCATTTCCATTCTTTTATGATCATGTACAGACACCCACATAAACACAGACAAAACTTCACTGAACGATTCCTAGGATACACCCCTACAGCTTCTGGCTCACAAGGAGCCAGACATTAAGACAGACAACCAAGGCTGTTTTAAACACTTAAACCAAAGAATCCACCATATCTCGAGAACATCTGAGCAAAGGTTAATTATGTACACTGTTGGAAATGTATCTGTTTCCAGCCTGACTTTACCCAGCTCCAACTTCCAACCACTAGATCTTATTCTGCCTTAGCTTTATCTACTATCTGCAGATCAGAAGATCTACAGATCTTCTATCAGAAGAGCTCTTCTGAAACATACTAAAAAAGATCAGACCATCATTAACCAATCTGAACTTTTTAAGCAGGTTATGTTCAAACCCCAAATCAGCCAAATCTTTGAGGTGTATATGCTCATATATTTTCCCTAAAGTAAGCTTCCCAAACAAAGGATTTTTATATTTAAAAAGACATGTTTTATCACACAGAAACTAGAAAAAAAAAACAAACTTTTTTAACTGAAAGTGACCAAGAAAGACTTCATAGCAATACAAAGGGGTTATTTATAATCCCTGCATTGCTCTCTAGCCCTTGCAGACAGATCCTTACTTCTAGCCAACTGTACTCTAGGAGTTTTCTTTCTATCCTGTTTGAGAGCTGGCTGGCTGCTTCTTGATCCTGTCAGGGCTCCCTGATCTCAAGTTTCTCTGTTGAGCTGCAGGTTGCCAAGCTCTGTGCTCTCTTCCACTCCACCTCCTGCACTCCCTGGAATCTCCTCTGCTTCAATGTGCTCCTTTCCTCCCCTGGAAGGGGCAATCTCCACTGGGGGACTCGCCTGACCTAGTCACCCTCCTCTTGAAGGAGAAAAACACAACCATGAACACACACGCTGAACAGAACTCACCTATCCCCCTCTTGACACAAGGACAGCATGGACTGAGTCCCACAGTGACACAACAGCATTTGCCCTTCAAACATCTATCAATAAGGCTTCAGCAACCTTGCCTTTTTACCGCAAGGTGAAGTTTAATCAATTCCAAGTATAAAGATTATGAGATTAGAGTCGTTCCTTTCCATAGCCTGCTGCCACTCCTGAAGAGTGGTCTGCCTAAACCATTAAAGTTCTTCCATAAAGAAGTACGGGGGGTTGTTTTTTGTGTGTGCTGGTTGTTTGGTTTTAGTTTTTTGTTCTGTGGGGGTGTTTTTTTCTGATGAGAGGTTGTTTAAGAGCTCACAAAACTACAGAGCACTCTTTCATTTCTGGCATAATTTCCTTTCCTAGATGACAACCTGTTACTGACATACACAAGATTAAATAACCCTTTCTTTCTCATCCCCTCTTCTGCAAAGCTTTTCCAGCCATCTGAGGCACCTGTGAATAGAGTAAAAGGCTCTATTCCAACCCATTTTCCTTATGCAAGTCAGTCAAGGGCACTGCTACAGCACTGACGTCTGGTAAAAAGCTCTGTAACACATCAGCAAAGACTTACCCTTTGACAATCATGGTTTGATATTTCTGTACTCAGGAAGTTGCTGACTCAGACTGCGATGATTTTTCTGTGATGGCATACAATATAAACTGACCCTGTTGACCCCACTATCACCAACCATTATTCAAACCTACCTGGAGGATGCAGCTGAGCCCATATACCACTGGTCGGTGCTGAGGGCACAGCAGTAAGTCACTGAAAGGGCTGGGAGGAGGATTCCCTGCAGCTGGCTGAGGGGTGGGAGTTGAAGGAAGAGTGTTCCCTGTCTGGGCAGACAGGATGTGGGGTGGGTGCCCGCCAGCACCATCCAGTTGCATAGCAAGTCTGCGGGTGCAGAAGTAGGCCAGACGTCTGGACAGGTATGCAGACTGCACAAACTCTCCAGAGTACTGTAGGGAAGAGGGAGGGGAAAACGTCTTCATTACAAGCAACGCAAGAGAAACCCTTGACAGTCCCACAGTAGTATACTGTGTGGCACTGCCTTGTAGAGACAGTCCCTTTTTACAGAGAGCTCCTTAGCATCATCGATCACCCACTGGCAACTAAGCATCAGAAAAACCCTTTAAATGCTCTATGGCAATGACTTTATGTATCAAAATGTGCCCACACCCGGCATTCCCAGGGCTTCAAAGGTCTGCCTAGAATCTGTTGCAACAGAAAGAAAGAAAAGCAGTTTCCATGTAGTGGTGCACAAGTCCAGCTATTACAGACATAGGCAAGGATTACCAAGTCCAGTGCAAGGAAACAGGGTAAAGGAGAAAGAAACAGAAGAGAGCAGAACTTAAAAGGTATCCTTGCATGAGCTAAGAAGGATGCTCAGAGGGACACTCCCTAATATTCTTGGTGTAAAATAGCTCATCATCCCTCAGGCAATAGGAAGGGGACTGACAACAGCGGAAGTCAGCACTCTCCTGAAGGAAGCCGGGTACATATTTCTCACCCGCAGCAGCAGGGGTAGGAGCATTTTCAGAAATTCATCTTCTCCTGACCGTATCTTCTCAAAGCACTCGAGGACCCACGTCAGGAATTCATGCCGGTCCAGCATGCCATCCTGCACAGAGATAAAGGCAGAGCAAACGGACAAAAGCTGAAGCAACATCCACTAAGGAAAGGCAGAGCAGCAGCAGCTGTTTGCTTTCTAACAGTGGAAGTAACTCTAGGAGTTTGCACAGTTCTGTACTACCCCTGTTCTACTGCTGAGCTCAAAACCGCATCCAGCCCTAACGGTCTATTCACAGAAAGAGAATATTCTGCAAAAATAGATCACTTTGCATCCACTTCCCCTAACCCTCCTCTGCTACGCACCCACCCAGCAGCCCCCTCCAGTCCCTTACCTGGAACATGAACATAGCTAGTTTCTCATTGTAGTCCCACTGCTTCAAAGCTTGTTCCACCTCTTGGGGCATTGGCCCAGACGGTGAACCACAGCCTTGCCCTGGGAGCTGCCTATAGAACTCCGCAATTTTCTGCAGCTGCTCTGACAGGTACTTGGTGATGATCTGCGTCCATTCTGGAGAAGAGGAAACAGATTAGCAATGAGTGCCGTGGCAAACAAGCAGGAAAGAACCAGGCTGGTGCACAGGTGGAAACCCAAAAAAATTCCTGTCATTTGCAAAGGACAGACAGACAAAGAAAGAAAAGTAAGTGCGATAATATTAGCTTTGCTTGCGGCCTGGGGGTGGTAGGGAGGAAGAGGTATCCACAGAAATAGGGAACAAGGGGAAAAAACTTCTGTGTTTGCAGGGCAGGGATACTTTGTACAAGAAAAGTTGGGAAGAAAGATTCCTCAACTGCAGTTGTTGAGAATCAGCAGGCGGAGAGAAGAGGCTTTCCAGCGGGGAGCAGTGTTAGGCCAGCCTGGTTTAGCATCCTCAATAATCTGACAGACAGCAAAAACACTGGAAACACTTCAACTCTGAACTTGTTCTTAATCTCTTTCAGATATCAGTGTAAAGCCATGATCAACGATTTTTTAAAATAATCGTTTTTACTAAAACGTAACTGTATAAGAGACAAACTCAATACACGAAGTGACAGCATGATTACACTCCTCTGCAACAATGCACATGGCAAAATCCAAGGCAAAATATGCAAGAATGTGAAACAAAACACTTACAGGGTCAGCAGTAGGACAGACACCCAAAGGAACAGGAAAGTAAATGGAATAAATATATCTAACAAACCAATCAACCTCCAGAAACAGAGCTAAGAACCTGTGTAATTTTTATACCAAAGATAAACAAGGGGAAAAAAAAAAATCCATGGACTTCAGCTGCTAATACTGCTTTTCAAAGGAGTGTGGTCAGGTTCTGTAGTCACAGCCATACAAACCAGAAAACAGCCAGGGGAGCTCTCCTAGACTGCAGTAATGTGGAGCGGGCCAGGATGCAAAGGATGTTAGATATGGGATCCAGTAAAGCTTCATGAAAATGGAAACACAAACAGGGAATAACATACCGGAATTCTCTGGGAAACATACTTACTCACTTGAGAAGAGGCTAATCAGTCATTGCTAAATTATAATGTTTACAGTCTTTGCAGGGTAAGAAAAAAAACAGGTTACACAGCAGAGGAGCACAGTAAAACTTAACAGGAAGAAAGAAGAGGTAGGCTCTCAGGAAATATTTGTGGTTGCTAAGACTTATTTTTCAACAGCGTAGTCTCACAGGTGGGCCCTGTTGTTTTAGACAGTTATGCACATCAGAGCAC